CAGCCACCCAATGAGCCAGTTCCTCAGTTGACTGTTTCCCTGGATGCAGCTTGGCAATGTGAGCTAACTTTTGGCAAGTTGTAGGTTAGCAGGTAAGATTGAGTTAGGGTGAGTACCTACCTATAACTGGGTGCTACTGCTATGCAGGTCTTGGGTAGGCTGCAAATATGTGTGCCATGATTGAGGTTAGGTCAGCTGTCAAGTTAGCCAGGTACCTATACCTACTCATTGCTCAGGTCAGGTCACATTTTTATGGACACTTGGCAAATTAAAAAACTAACAATCTAATCTAAGCTAACCTGACTAAACATACACAACTACTGACTATAGGAACTAAGCACCTACCTACTTGTGCCTATACATCTCATACCATGTCAAAGTAGAGTTCCTTGGTGGAAGATTACCCTCAGTACTTTTTATCCCAGCCCTGTGAATAAAACTAATACTTCTAAGCTCTGAGTCACTGCTGGCCATCCACAGGAAGAAACGCTGAGACTGAGAGCTTTGCCATTGTATACTGGACCAATAATATTGCACTATCATGAATGACTATGAACACATTATATGATCACATTGTTGCATATGGATTGTCACATTGACAATTTTACTACAATCCTTTTTCAAGAAATACAGTGATGATTTACATCAAAATCAACATAAAGTGGATTCAGTGATCCAAGCTTTCTCCTCCAGTAGCAATGGAATGATCACATGCTTCATTTGCCAGACACTGAGTACCTGATGCACATTACAATCTGCATAGCATCTAAGCATAGTAAAACTGCCCAAGTCCATTCATTCTAGATTTTTAACTTGATAGTTAGCACTAATTTATCTTGCTGTTGTAAGTTATCATTCAATATTCATACCAATACATCAATATGCGCTCATCAGTCAACATTTTCTGGCATGATCCTGCTCAGTGTGCTCTTCAGTATTGCTCCAAGGTCTGCAATATTATAGCTTGTTTTTGTCCAATATTAATAAGCTCTTTTAATTTTACTTTTTCTTGCTTATATATATATATATATATATATATATATATATATATATATATATATATATATATATATATATATATATATATATATATATATATATATGAGCCTGATCAACTTGCGTTTATCAACTAAATTTCATAGCTTGTTCAACTTGATATTGATATTGCTCATGAGTCAGGACCTCTGTCAGCCTCCTGGATAGGTACTTCGGATTGTTTTCAGTCAACATGCTTCTTAAATATGATATAAGTCAATCTTAAGGGATTCAAAACATCCAATGAAACGACGTACAAGAGTAAGAAAACCACCAGATAAACTAAAAAATGGCCTTGGAACAGAGACAAGAGTTGTGCTCTCCATTTGTTTGTTTACAATGATTGTAGTGCTGATGTATTTTTAGGACTCTGAACGTCGGCTTATAAAAAATGAAACGTTTTTACAAAAGTTGTAAGGCAAGTAGGGGAGAGGCGGGAGAATTGGGACGCAGAAGAATAGGGACACGCCAATATTTAAAAAATGGGCAGCGTCCTTGCACGATTTTTGCCTTTACCTTTTGATTCGATGTGTCGTGCAACAATGGGAAGCCTCAGCAACCCTTTTGTGTCCGTCGGTTGGGCTGTGCTGTCTGAGCACCAAAAAACTTGTTTTTTCGAGTGTTATTCTGAGTTGTCTGTGTATTGCATATGCCAAACTATCTTTCTTTCAAGATGTTGCGATGCTAGCTAAACACCGTCTTTATGCGATTGCCAGATTGCATGAACACGCTCTGTAACTGACAAATGACCGAAAAATTGCGCGATTTGATATGGTGGTGGTGTGGGAGAATTGGGACACCAAATGGTGAAAATGGTAAAATGGTGCAAAAAGATGTGTATTTACCTTCATGTTTTGGACGGGTTTGCATCTGCGCCCCCTATCCACAAATACATCAAAGCGAAGACCAAGAAGTCTGAAAATGTACATTTCATGGGAACATCGTGATCGTGAATGACAATCCCGGCCTTAACGAAGCAGATAGTGTGAATATAAGTTCCAACGTATCAATTGATTGCCTAGGCATAGACAGATCAAAAATTCGAGATAAAAATGTTGTCCCAATATCTCATTTTTATGTGTCCCAATTCAGCCTCGTGTCTGTCCCTTTTCTCCTGCGTGTGTCCCTATTCTCCCCAAAATAAGTGTTTTTGTTTTTCTCCACACATAACCACACCACTGCATACGCTCGGTTTTTTATGATGGCATGCTGCAGAGAAATGGCCTATCTTTTATTGGTGCTGCACGAAGCAGCTTGGCAACAATACTTTTCAAATAATATCTCAGTAAATATGGCTTGAGAATTAAGTCCCAATTCTCCCGCCTCTCCCCTAATATTTATCTGAAAGAACTAAAATATTCAAAAGCCAAACACTATGAAATACATGAATCGGAACGAAAAAGTAACCCGAAAATCCAGCCTAATCACCGGCTCCTAAAACTGCAACAAAATCATCACTTTTCCCCGCAACTCGTTGTCCAGACGTAAATATGCAACATAACAAGACCATTGCCACCCTTTTTAGAAACAGTACCAACAAAAACCTTATTTACTATACTTTTTGTGTACCCCAATCTCAATGATCTGTATCCGCCTATGATTTTTGAAAATGCATATTTTTAGGATCCATGTGAACTCCTGGTTCATTCGCTATCGATCGGCAAAAGTTGCGTTAAGATTGGTTCAGAAACCTGGCCGTGATAAACAGTCTAAAATGTATCTGCAATTTGCCCGTTTTTACCCCCCCCCCCCTCTACCCCCTATTGACATTTTTTTTTTTTTTTTTTAGAAATGTAGATCTCGTTGAGCCAAATCGAATGCCGTTTGAATTTTGAAAATCGGCCGGTTAGATCTCGAGATATCAAGGGGGGGGGGTCGTAAACAGCCCCCCCCCTGCCACTTATATGGGGTAGCCAGGAGCCTGCCACTAATAGGGTTAAAGGTCATCGCCCTGGGCAGTAAACCCGGGCAGTAAACTTTTGTTTCCTGCCCGGCCTATCAGATAACATGGCATTTTGACACCGATAGTTTCTTGGTCATACTTTTACTGCCCGGCTCGTGCTGTGCTTAAGACATACCCCGGCATGTAGGAAAATCATGTCATCCATCCTCGCCCACATACAAAGTTAGGTCAAGGTCAATTATTTGTGTTTGTATGTCTGTGTGTGTCTGTGTGTACACTGATGTGTGCACCGATTGTTTTTGTGTTCATATTACATGAAATCATGATCTGAGAAGCTTTTACCAAAAATGCAGTCAAAAAACTTCACAAAAAGTGAATTCAGCTTACCTAAAACGCAATTATCTTAGATGACCTAGGTTGACCTTGACCCTGACCTTGACACCTGTACATCGTCGAACAACATGTTCCATCATAGGTGGCAGGTTAGACTGGCAAAAAAGGCCGAAATCAAGGTGTCAAAAGCCCACAAGGCCCATGGCAAACACAAGATGTTGAGAATTGGCCATTTGGGTCATGACATGACCTAAAAAACAAGGTCATATCTCCGAAACACAAAATCACAGAAACTTGAAATTTTCAGTGGACATCAAGAAAGGATAGAGGACCAGCTATACGAAAAATCAGCCTTCTAGCTCTAAAAATGTCGAGTGCAGAGCAGAAAGACTACCTGGGGGGGGGGGGGTGGCAACCCCCCCCCCCATGTGCGGGCGAGGGTTAACCCGCGCACCGGCCGATGCGCAGAGGCCGATGCGGGTTCTTAGAGGCCGACATCGGGTCTTCAAAATCCAGTGCGGGGCCCTCAGAGGCACTTAACCCGCGCACCGACGGGGGGCGGATATCCGCCCCCCTGAGGTTTTTCGCGAATAGCGGGAAAACCGCGGCGCGTAGCGCCGCGAAATTTGGTACGACTATTTTCTCATCAATTTTACACATGATGTCCAAGTTTGAACCTCCTAACTTTTAAGGTCAGGTCACCAGGTCACTTTGAATGACCCAACCTCAAGTCACTTTTTTGCAACTTTGTCACCGTGCCAGAGCTACAGTAGATGTCGGAGGCCTTTGAAAGTCGCAGGATGTTATCAGGTCATTAGTAGCTACAATTTGTTTATCTCGGAATTTTGATATCGGTGATCTAAGGTCAGGTCAATTTCTCGACCTCCCCATTATAAGTCAATGGGGGAAAAATCAACTCCCTGTTTTTACCACTAAAACGGGTCGGAATGGCCCCATATACCATACCTGACTTCATATACGATCAACCTTCACTACCTTGAGGTCTGTTTTGCTGTTGGGCAGCTGTAAGGTCATGTGACGTCATCAAAGGTCACCAAAGGTTTTTTGCCAATAACTCCGTACAGGAACAAGATACAGCCGCGCGGATGGTCTCATTGTGTTCAGCTCGTCAAGACGCATCGAATGATATACATGATGACCTCGAGGTCACGTGACCTGAGGTCAACCTTTGACCTTGACCTTTCGAGGTCAACATACATATTATTCGATGCGGATTGACGAGAGGATCACGATGATGCCCTTAGATTGTTCCTATCTTGACTAGTTCGAAAGTTATTCGAGAAAAACACTCCCCATATATAGCGCCGCCATTTTGACTTTTTTGACCCCTGTGACGTCATCTTTGACCTGACCTGAAAATGACCTGTTTAAAAATTGTAGACCTTGTCCGTGCGTATCCGATGCCGTTTACCGCTTGTCGCTATGTTGCTTCGTTCTCGAGATCTCAGGGGGGGGGGCGGTCATCCGCCCCCCCCCCCCCCGTCGGTGGGAAGTTGGCGCAGACCCCCGTCGGTGCGCGGGTTAAGCAACCACAAATGCAGAAAAACAAAACGTAAGTACTGACATCTTACATCCTGAAGAAAAAAAAACAGTTCATGTTTCAGGTTCTCAGAGTTCGCGATAAATTTTCCAAGCCTAGATATTTCACATTGATATTAAAACAAACAACTAAAAAGGGAATCAGTTCAAGACGTTGTCATTGTCAACATCCTATAGCCTAATGATAGCAATGATGAAAACAACGCTGGATTCAAACATCGACATCTGACATCTGACAAACGACATCCGACATCGAAACTGAGATGGAATCGTTCCATGCATCAATGCAACTGACATGATGACTCAGATAGCAGCACAGCAAGTTGTGCATTTTTAACGATAGGCTCGCTCATTGCATTCACATCTCTGACACTTATCTAAGCCCGTTCCATACGCCAAATATCGACATGTTCGTACTTCGTAAGAACATATAGAATGATTGCACCTAATACAAGCGCATATTTTACCGTTACACACTGGCAGCGGCATCAAAAACATTGGGCCAACAGCAACAAGAACAACCACACATCCGCCGTACCTACATGCATGCCGTGCTGCGTGCATGCGCGCACAGACGCTCGGGACAAACAGCGTTACGTATAGGTACGGGGCGGACCAACTCCGCGGCAACAGCAAATCGCTCGGCGTGCTCCTTAGAATAGCACACTCGGGACGATAAATCAACGCTTCAAGTAGGTACCTTAAACGAAACAGCAACACTCAACAGTTCACGTAAGTAAATGATATACGCTAGTATGTTCGTACGATTGTACATGGATCCGTAGGTACGTGCAATCTGTCACGGGAAAACATCGATATGATTACAGTGTGCATCGATATGTTGATCACAATCGATATTGCACCAATTGTTCCCAATTAGGTACCCAAGATCGTGGATACTGGGGTTCTGTCTACCGTCACCGTTTCAAGCCAACCCAGTCTTATAGCAAATTGAACGTTGGTAAGTCAATTTCGACGTAATTTAAATACACCTTACACTAATAATCATTTTTCTTTGGAAGTTTTCGCGTCTTTGTCTCAGGTAACGGCAACATTCGCAGCCTGCCCTTGATCTCGTCACACCGAGCACACCGTACTCACTTTACCTCGACGCATAGACAATCTAATCCTTGTCACTCATCTGTCCATTCCGTACAGCCGAATATATAATATGTCGCCACGGATGATGACGAAACATTTAGCTTTTCAAGCTCTTGGTCACTGAGCGCAACTTGTCATTGACAAGTCAGGTCACAATCTTATCTTTTCGGACCATCAATAACTCACATACCGAGCTGGGAATAAATGTCGATCAAAACATTTGCAGTCACATTTCCTCTCAGATCTGCAGATTCTCTGGTCAGATTTGCACCTCCTCAGGTCAAATCTCCACCCGTGCTCCAGTGACCGGTCCGATCTGTTCACGGTGACCTCATACTAGGTCAGATATGTTCACGGTGACCTCGTTCCAGGTCAGATCTTTACCTTGCGGAACGCACGCCGTTAGGCCAATCAGATCTGCACCCCGTGCCCCGGTGACCGGTCAGGGCTGCACCTCGCGGACGCCGTGTCAGATCAGATCTGCACCCCGTGCCCCGTTGACCGGTCAGATTTGCACCTCTCGGACGCCGTTGGCGGCGCCCGGCACGTGCCGTCAAGAGCGCACCTCCACCGGCGGACTGAGCTCGACGCGGCGCTGCTCGTGGCACGTGGAGCCCGACTCGCGCGCCACCAGTTGACGCGGCGCCTCACCGGGAGACGAGATGGAGCGGCACGACATCATCGAGCGAGACGAGCTGCCGACAGGCGCGGGAGGGAGTCAGAACAGGGGCGATGTGGGTGGTAGGGGCGTCAGAGCAAGGGTGATATGGGCGTCAGAAACGGAACGAATACATGACATTGAATCCATCCAGCATGCACAGTAAACACAACATGCAGCGCGGGTATTCACACGACATTGGATGAACACCATCATGTCATCTGACTGGCTCATTTAACGAAGCAATTGAGTCACTCATCACCACAGTGCCCCGCCCAGTGGTTGACGCGCACCTGACTTTGGACGGCTCGGCGGTGGACAGAGGTCGAGACAGCGAGGAAGACGAGGCGGTGGACATCTTTCGCGACGACGACGGACGCTTCTTGGCCCGGCGCAGCTCCCCGTCCAGGTCATCCAGCTAGGGGGATAGAATAGATCAGCGTGTATAGTGGTCGGTGGCGGTCGGTGACGAGTGATCGGTCATATAAAAATGACGATCTTTGCTGTCAATACGGCGCTTATGTAGGAGGTATGAAACGGTACGGTGTAGACTGCAGCACTCACCAAATGGGGCTGCAAAAGGTTGATATGAAGACTTACTAACTTGAAACTAAACTGAGTAACTAATTTATATGCACGGTAAAAAATGCCTGAATCTTCCTACGATCTCCATGGCGCCACCTGGACTCTGACCTCGTAGACGACGGTGCTGCCATCTGGTGTTGACCTGCGCCGCTGCAGCTCGGCCAGCAGGTCCCGGAACTCTTCCTTCAGGGCGGTGACGCGCCGGTGGAACTGGTCGGCGGCGCCATCGTCACCCTGCGGCACGTGCTGGCCGGCCGACTCGGCGGCCCGCAGCGCGTGCAGCTGATCCTGCACCAGGTTCAGCTTCTCCTGCAGCTGAGGGAGAGCCGGAGAACGTGCTATGATCAAAATCACTGGTAGTGCGGGTCAGAAATAGGGCATTGTTATTCGGAAAGTGAAGTTTTACAACCACATGCCTACCAACTACCAGGCAACGCATCAGGAAGCATTCCTTTTCTAGGTCAGCCAGTGCTGACAGAATGCGAGCATCGCATTACCGCGGCGCTCCCACAACAATGAAGGATGCATTAGGAGCCGGCGTGTGTTCCCTTTCCTGCGACTCGCACGATGGACCAAGGCGTGGAGGGCCGTTAGGCGGCACGGGCGGACATCGATAGCAGTGCCTCTATCGGTCACTAGGGAAAGCTGGGCTGTAGGCGACGATATACCGGCTGAGTTGTCACACGTTGAATAGGTTAAAGGCCTGGCTACACTATGCGTTTTCTTCGTGCGTTTTTTGCGTGTTCCCGTGTTTTGCGTTATATCGTTCTAGAAAAAAGAACGATATTACGTTTTTGTGATGTTTTTCACCTTAAATTTTAGTTACATAAGAGTTATATTAACTTTTGTATATAACCAAAGTAAAAATTATATTGTTTATATCTTTTTTCCTAGAACGATATTACGCAAAACACGCAAACCTGCAAAAACGCACGCAGAAAACGCATAGTGTAGCCAGGCCTTTATAGCCATCCGTCTTGTGAAAAAGTTGAACTTTTGCCTTTAATATTTCTACAGGCAATTTTAGAAGTGTCTTCACATGGATTACAAAACTGTTTAGATTATTGTATTCACTTCAAGCCTTCCCTATTGTTTTTGATGATGCGGGAACTATTTATAATTAGTGTTTCTAGCTTAGTAAAAGAACATACTGTGCAAACGATGAAAAAAGCATAAATGGAGATTTTAAATGCAATTTTCTCTAACAATTAATGGTAAATTCTTTACATATCAAGGAAAAGGTGCATGCTAACTGATAATTTAAAGTTCTTGGGGCCAGTTGTTTTCTTCTTTTCTTACGTCGCCCCAATGGCCGCGAATACACTTGTGATAACGCCTATCGCGTACCGGTCGCACGCGATATGACCCGGTCGCGCGGTCCCGCGGCGTGTCGTCGTTTTCCCAGACTTGTGACGAAGGGAGCGGCACGCTGCCGGTGCAGCGATCGAGTATCGACACAGCTGCAGGGATTCCGGACACGAGCCGGACAGGGCACGCACGTCACGGTTATACCACAGTCAGAGACCACGGCACAGCCCATTTCGTGACGGGTTTGTGACACTGCCGCAGTGCCGTTCAGCGTCAGTCTCCGTTACAGACAGGTCACCCGACAGAGGGAATCCGTACGGACTCGGGAGCCCAGCCCGCCGGCGTTTGTATGCCTTTCCAATAACGCATTGTCTATGCTGTAGTAATGTGTATATTTGTATGCATCTTAATGTGCGTTTGTAATGCCTATCCGTTCCGGCTCGATAAGTTTTAAGGCCTCATCAACATTATGTTTTTGAATGTCATCCTTACATCCTGGCCGGAGTCGTTTCAGACAAAAAAAAAGGAGTACCCACCCATCAACTTCCTAGACCAATAGCGAGAGCTCATTTCCGGTCCGTCACCTTTCCGCCGATTGTTGCAGTTTATGGAGTTCACACCTCGAGTATAGCGTGATGCATAACACTTTCTCAGAAGCCATCCAATCTGAGATAACCTTTGCGGAGTTTAGATGACTGTCAGAACAGTCACAGCTGACGCACAAGGCACAGTCAAGATGGAGTCATGAGGATGTGTGTGGACATGAACGTGATGATTTTAGAGTCAATGTCGTCAAGTGCTGCGTGCAATGTAAGATGAGCTATCATGAGCTGGCTTGCAAGTGCCGTTACGAGTATTTATCGTCACGATGTTGGCTTGGGAGTTAGCGCGGTCCAATACATGCATGAGAGAGAGAGAGAGAGAGAGAGAGAGAGAGAGAGAGAGAGAGAGAGAGAGAGAGAGAGAGAGAGAGAGAGGGAGAGAGAGAGAGAGAGAGAGATAGAGGGAGAGAGAGAGAGAGAGGGAGAGGGAGAGGGAGAGGGAGAGAGAGAGAGAGAGAGAGAGAGAGAGAGAGAGAGAGAGAGAGGAGAGAGAGAGAGAGAGAGAGAGAGAGAGAGAGAGAGAGAGAGAGAGAGAGAGAGAGAGAGAGAGAGAGAGAGAGAGAGAGAGAGAGATTTGCTCGTCTACGCTACACATGTATTTTTGTACGCTGTTATTCTTAGCGTTAGCAGACAACAGTCGTCGTCAAAATATGTAGTCCGAGACGACGACGAGAGTGAGACGCGATTGAGGAAACGGCCGGCGAAGCGGCAGCCGCTCCGAAGCCCGGCTGCACAGTTTGACAGGCGCTCTATTGTGCGGAAACTATTTTCGTACGTTGAGAGTTGACTCGGTGGATTGATTCCATAAAGTTACCTCCACCCAGGACCTGTTGTTGGAAGTTTCCTGCTGCCCGCGGCGTTCCGACCGAATCCCAATGTAGTTCTGTGAAAAATATACTGTCTTCAACACCTGCAAATGCTGGTTGACAGCGGTCAGCGGTGCCATTGTATTTTCATAAACTTCGCAAAGATGGTGCCATCATCCAGCCGCATCCTCTCCCGAGCTCCAACAGGTGTGACAAGCCAATAATAGGTACCTACCTACCTAATAATAATTAGGGAAGAGCGGGGAGAATGAGACGCAGAGGCTGTGTGACATCTGTAATATCTGGGTCACCGATTAAAAAAGTATAGTTACAAACTTTAAAGTTGACTGGAAAATAATGACCCACTTTTCTTGAGCCTCATCATTACCAGAGATTTTCATCAATTCTCCAATCAATCATAAATTTATCATTTTCCAGCACATCGCCAAATCGTATCAAAATAGCTACAGACATACAGGACGCAGGCATTAGTCGAGTTGCCGCTGAAAGTTGTTGTTGTCCACACAATCAAACGGGACTCACGCTGTGTCTGTGTGCGATAATGTGACTGGTAGGAGCAGCGCTTTAGCGTCCGTCCCCGGGCGTGAACCCGGCTTAGCGGAGTGGCAGAGGCCAATCAGGTCAATGGGGTTGGGCTATGCCGGCGGACCGGCCATAGTCGTCGGCAATCATGTTTAGCACCATCGGCCCACTTTCGGTGGCGATAATTTTACAGCCTCGGCAGCGGCGGCGGTGGTGACTGACGACGGTGTGGGGTTGGTGGTGGTGCGGTGTCAGAGACGGGGCCGGCGTCGGTGTCAGTGATGGTGTTGGTGACAGAGATGGGGCGGGGTCCGTGTGTGTGTGGGGAGAGCGGGGGGGGGGGGCGGCGTCGGGATCGATGCCGCCGAGTGGGTGCCGCGGCCGGTGCCGTTTGGTTTCAACCCGCCCGGCGGCCGGAGCGGACGGTAAATAGAAGCCTCAGCAGCGCTCCTGTGCAGCCGCGCGCCGCCGGCAGCTGCTGTAGGAGACCCGTCCACAGCAGCGGGGGTGGATAGGCCGCCTCGATCCGTGGGGCCGCCGCCAGCCACCGTGTCATCCAATATAGCGCGGCGCAGCGCACACCCGAATCGTAAACACGTTACCGCGAGCCCCGGCCCCCGCCGGCCACGGATTGAGTGCCCGACACTGAGTGACCGCCAAGCTGGTGTAGCTAGACAGACGGGCTTTGAGGGCTCGCGTCCTCCCTGAATACGAAATGTCCTTCTGAGAACGGAAGGTAGTGAACTTTCCGGAAGAAATAATGTTCGCTGCGGTGAACCTCAGAGGAAGGTTTTAGAATATGCGATTCATCTCTGGCAAACGGTCAACTGTGAACTCTATTTCAGATATGTCAGCTATGCGTTAGATCTCGTAACTAATGTGCCGGCTCAGCTGAATGCTATGCGAATTGGACTTCTTGTGTGACGCTGGGCATGTATTCGTAAGGCTTCTGCGCTTTTGATGTTTGGCTTGCCCCATTGCACGACATTATTTTACCATGGTTTGCATTGTTTTTCTTTTTTTTTCAACGAAAACGTGGTCTTCAAAAATAAATCTTCCACACACTGTAATCCAACATTGGACACGTTCAGGCTTCAGCTGCTTAGTACCTACCTATAATCCCAACCAAACAGCAGTCATCGCTGCGACTTCCGTCCTTTCAGCCGGAATTCGTCCCCGCCGTCGCTCCCACGGGTCTGGCTGCATTTTTCAAGCGCAATCACATTAGCCCTATGTGCGTGAACCGGAGCGTGCCTTTTCGCCGTCCGTCCCGCCGCTAGCTCCGGCGGCCGGCGGCGAGTGCCTTTGTTCCGACGGTGATCTGAAAAAACAGCCGTGCCCGGCGGCCGGCGACGCGACGTGTTTGTGAACCGTCCACGACATCCGCGGTACAAAATTATCGATACGGACTCTCCGAATTGACAGAGTTTGCTTTCTGCTCTGAACAGCCGGCTGAAAACGGCCGAGAGACTGCCGGGAATGGCTGGAATGGATCATGTTTCAACTTCCAAAAAGCTGCAATGTTTTGTAAACTGATGCTGCGATGGTCGACGTAAGAAAACTTTGCCCATCCGTCCATGCAGGTCGCAGCTATCTGATTCGATTCAGAGTCAATCATCACTTTCATTCAGTTATGTGCAATGAAAAAGCTATCCCATCCGTTTATCTATTTTGAGATGAGCAATTATCAACCAGAAAACGGAACTCCGAAATAAAATACTGTTGGATCAATGGATGCTGCGATGAGTCAAGGAGACGTATACCAGTTCTGTTACGCCCACCCTGCATCGGTATGCAGTCGCACAGCTAGCACTCCGTGTCGACCGAGTCGCGCGCGTTCCGCATTGCAGGAGTGCTCGCCGGTACAGTCTATGTAACAGGCGTGAGCCGCGCGGTGCAGAAGTGGCCGAGAACGTCGTCCCAATACCGAATATGGAGACATGCACTCAAACAAACAGGCGATGTGTCGTTATCAACACAACCGGTGGTGTTCAACAGGAGGATGTTTCACTTAAAAAATAAGCTCTAAGAAATGTTTGCTGTTTATGTGAGGTCATCTGTACAAGGCCGAAGGCGTATGGAATGTGCATTATGCAAGGAAGTTACTGGTAGGTGCTGGGAAATTCTAAACTAAAAAAGTATGCTTTGGGAATGCATACATACCAAAGCATGCAATCGGCAAGTGAATCGACGAATAATTGCGCGTGTATACATATGTGGTGTTATTTAACAACGTAGTGGTGTTTGTGTAGTGTGGTGTAGTGTAGGTAGTTTAAATAAAATTAGAGTGAATGCAATTAGAGCCTCCTCAGCACTCCGAGAGGCCTCCTAACGAGCCAGCGTAGACAATGCGACACTGTTGATTAAGTTTATGTTTGTGCTGTGACCTGCATAAGGTTTTCTGCTCGCAGAACCTCAGCCTTTAATGACATCTTATTGGACACCTATCGGATAAGTAAGCAAGTTCCAATTTCTCTGCTGACAAAAAAAAAGTTTTGATATTTCTAAAACTAAGCTAGCGACATTGCTTCGATTTTACAAAAGAAAATGATGTATGCAGGTGTTCAATGTCAATAGCGGAGTCATTTCTCTTGATTATAAGCCGGGGCATTGCAGAACGGGACAATTTATTGCACGCAAAGGGAGGCTCGGCAGCGCAGCCTGCCCATGTCAGTGATATTGATGACATGCTACGCTCGAGTGGACAGTTGCTTTGGTTGTTAAAGTGCAGCTATTTAGTGCCACCGGATAGGTAGGTATCAGCTGCAATGGATTTCTGGCATCTCTGGCAGTCGGGTGGAGGGCGACACTCACGACGCTCTCTCACCTCGTCAGTCAGGTGGAGGGCGACACTCACGGCAGTCTCTCAGCTCGTCAGTCAGGTGGAGGGCGGCACTCTCGTCACTCACTCATCTCATCATTCGGGTGGAGGGCGGCGCTCGAGGCACTCACCTCGTCAGTCGGGTGGAGTGCCGCCGGAGTGCCGTCACTCGTCATCAGGGGCCGCTTTATTTCCCTGTTGTGACGCCGGTGCTTCAGCAGGTTATACAGAATTTTCAGCTGAAATAAAACATAGAAATAAGCTGAAACACGAGATATAGGGCATCATCAGTTAATGCACACAACTCACATATGAGGAAGGACGCTGAATAAATGCACTCAAATACATACATTAGTACATTGCCGCAAGCCATAATGTTATATGCCGCAGTCCGGGCGCCCTAAGCCCCCAACTCAGCATCATCAAACATATAGTAAATATGCAATATAATCTCTTGATATCACTGCCTACTGATGTTCACTGAGGTGCGGTGTTCCCGTCCGCACCTCAGCTCGCCGTCATACCATCTGCATGTATACGCCGTCCCCTTCTCCGGTCATTGACAAACACAATGGGTCGGGCTGTGCCGGCGCCTCCGGGGCTATATAACGCCGTCTGTATAGCGCCGGTATCATTAGACGCGTTTACATAGGGTTTGTTGCAAGCTTATATCTCCGTCTGTGATGTTGCAAAAGATGCCAAAGGTGCTTAACAATTTACAAAATGATCCCCTCTAAATATCTGAAGACCACTGCATCGAAATTGTCGCCAAATTAACGAGCTAGAGCCTCGTCAAGTATGCTATGTAAACCGGGTTATTGCTCGGTGGTTGTGGGTGGGGCGCCTCTGGGGCTGTACCGCGCTAGTATCAAGTAGTAGTAGTAGTTTATTAAAGAGCCATCCACAAGACAAGTGGCTATTATGGCCTTCACGTCAATAAAATCGGATCATAACATGCACGGTAAAATACACACTCACGATGTTACACAACCTAAAATATACATATAGCTCAGGATAAAAAACATCACCTGCACGGCATCATGATTAAAAACGCGTTCATCACGTGTCTCGTCTCGAAAGTAGGTGGGCCTTCAGGGCTCGCCTGAACCGCGGACCTCGCTGGTTCCGCACCGACATGGGCAGATCGTTCATGAGGTGGGGAGAGCGGTATACAAACCGTCGCCGGCCCGCCTCCGAACGGATGGGTGGCACGTGCAGGAGATCGTCCTGTCTGGTGTGCCGGACATGGCCATGATGGTCCCGGTTGAGGCAGACCTGACGGGCGATGCATTCGGGCTGGCTAGAGGAGAGGACTTTGTCAAGGAGGCAGAGGGATTGGTATTGGAAGAGTTGAGACGAGTCGAGCCACCCCAGCCTGTCTCGCACAGCTGACACGCGGTCAAACTTTCGTTTTCCCGCGATCACGCGAGCCGCAAAGTTGAGCGGCTTCTGGATGGTTGCGAGGTTGCCAGCGCTGCCGCTGCCGTAAACAGAGAGGCAATAGCGGATGTGCGAGACGGCCAGGGCGGTGACTATCTCGGGAAGGGTGTCAGGAGGAAGGAAGTGGCGGAGGTGGGATAGTGTTGCGAGGATGCCGCAGCATCTACGCGAGACAGCCCTCACATGCGCGTCCCATGACAGGTGCTGGTCGAAGACCACACCAAGATTTTTGACCTCAGTGCTGGGCGTCAGGCACGTGTCCTGGTATCTGATTTTAATCGTCGGGAGGTTGCGCAAATTTTGTCTAGAACCAAAAGTGATGAGCTCGAATTTGTTTACGTTAACCTTTAAGCCGTTCGCAAGGAAGTAGTTGCCAAGAGAGGAAAGGGTGCTTTCCATGCGCGATGCAAGCGCTGGAAGAGCAGATTTAGGGCCGGAAACCAAGACCTGGGTGTCATCGGCGTACTGGATAACCAGTCCATCGGAGACGTACAAGCTCAGGTGGTTGGCAAACGCGCAGAAGAGGACAGGGCCGAGGCTAGAACCTTGAAAAACGCCCTGGTTGATGGGTAGAGGAGGTGAGATTTTGACGCGGCCATCAGAGGAAGTGAGGCTTACACTCTGCGAATGACCGGAGAGATAATTTTGAAACCAGGATGTGTCGACGCCCAGCAGCTGGAGTTTTTCGAGCAATTTAGCATGACTGATAACATCGAAACACTTGCTAAGGTCAATGAGACAAAGAATGGAGAGAAGGCCAGAATCTGTAGCAGCAAGGATGCTGTCGGTGACGCACGTGAGGGCGGTCTCGGTAGAGTGCTGCGGACGGAAGCCATGTTGGGTTGGGGAGAGGAGATGGTTGGAGGAAAGGTAGTAGTAGAGTTGGCGCTGAACTGCCCGCTCCACTATTTTGGCAAGGACTGGGATGATAGAAATAGGACGGTAGTTGGAAGGATCGGCAGGATCACCGGACTTGTGGATGGGATGGACGAGGGAATGCTTCCAGGATTCCGGGAAGATATTGGAGATGAGGGAGAGGTTGACGATATGGAGGAGGACGTGACTGATGGCGTTGAAGGATAGCTTGATGGTCCGAATGCAAAGTCCGTCAGATCCGCGGGACGGGGAGTTGCTCATGGAGCTGATGATGGCATGTAGGGTGCTGAGCGTGATCGGATGTAGCCGGAAGGCGCAGGCTCCCACCCTGGGCAGTCGCGGGGGAAGTGAGGGGGGCGGACCCTGCGCGGCGAGCTCGGCGGCAACGCGTGGGCCGACATGGACAAAAAATTCGTTCATCTGTTCGGCGGAGATGGTAGGTGGTATCGTGCACGCTGTCTTTTTACTGCCCAAGATGTCAGCCGCGCAGCGCCAGACAGACCCACGTCCCTGCTGAGACACGCGGTGTCCGATATGGCGCCGCTTGTCCGCTCTGAAGGCAGCGCGGGCCAAACGGTTCGCCTCCCGGTACCTATCAGACCCGTGACCCCACAGGCGCAGCGCTCGGGCGCGGTCAGCCAGAAGCTGACGCGTGTCGTCCGAGATGGGGGGAGCGGAGGGGTTGCGCAGCTTCACAGTTCGGACAGGGGCGTGACGCTGAACAATGGGGGCGAAAAGACGAATAAAATGAGACCATGCATCAGAAATGTTTGAGGCTGCAAAGACGCAGGACCAGTCGACAGCTAGTAAATCCGCATCAAAAGACTGCATGTTGAAGCGTTTAAAAGAACGACATTGCACGACGCGTGGCTTGAGACGAAAACGAGGGACACTGATCAGTACACGAGTAAAAAGGTGAGGGCTAAAATGGCAAAAACGAGTTCCCCTTCGAGCTACGATCTCTCGGTTAGTGATGATGACGTCTATGGCAGAGCCGGATGAGAATGTCGGTTCGTTGATGTGGTGAAACATAGAATATTTAGATACAAAGTCGCTGAGAGCTCGCTTCGAGGGTCCAGCCGCAAGCTAATCACAGTTTAAATCTCCGGCAAGCACTACGTCACACTCTGGGCAATGAATCAGAGCATGCTGATACTGCTGCTCTAAAAGAGTGAAGTCGGCATCAAGTGCAGCGACGGTGCGACGAGGCGGGCGGTACAAAGCGGCAATGATTAATCTACGATTTTTATCCCAGGTAAACAGTGACCAGAGCGATTCTAGCTTACAGTTTGGATCGTCAGAGAGAGGGACTTTGATCGGTTTCTGCACATATGAATCACGGAACAGAATGGCGACACCACCGTGACCGAGTGGCGCATATGAGCGGTCAGAACGCTTCAAAGAGTAACCTGGAAAAGTGAGTAAGCGGTTGGGTACAGATGATTTTAGCCACGTCTCCGATAAAACGACAAAATCATAATCAAATCGGGTAAGTTCATGGGTGAGGTCGGCTATTTTGGGTTTCAGTGACTGAATGTTCAGGGCACTTATCTTGACCAGTCCATCACCGGCTCCCGTCCAACTCCTCTGGTGACGTCTGGGGCCACGCTTACGCTCGTAAGAGCGTCTTCCTCGGTGGGCACTGGGCACCGCGCCGCGACCCGGACCGCCGATCCACACACGGCCGGCGGTGGTGGGTGGGGCCGCCGTGATGAATTATTCACCTCGGACAAAGCGCACCGTGCCGACCGCCGCCCCCGGCCTCCAGAGTGGCCCAGTACAGGCGATCCACTATTGCTGTGTACTGCAGTGTATATCGTATGCAGTCTCGAAGGTACGTATAGTATAGACGGCAGATATGCGAGGTGCAGACTAATCAAGAAATCATGGTGGCAAACAAAGAAATATTCGAAATCTCTTGAGCATTCCAAATGAAGTTATCAGTTACAACAAAGTACCACATACAGCAAAACTAGGCAAAATAAAGATGTGTTAGCAGTACAATGGCTGTAATCCATAACCAATACCACGCATAAGCCGTGCACATTACTGGCTGTCCGGTCTGCCTTCTGAGCGGAGCAGTTGATCACCGCTCGGCGACCGGCTCCCTAGCGCCGCCAGCCGACACATCCTGCATAATTGACCGTCTGTTCGGACAGGGTAGCAGAGTTCAGCACGTGCGCTCTTCTTGGGGCTGATCTCAGACAGTGGAGACGGCAGTTCAGGGCCCAGAGACGGACAAAGAGGCGGGCGTGTGACGAGTGACGAAAGAGAGAGAGAGAGAGAGAGAGAGAGAGAGAGAGAGAGAGAGAGAGAGAGAGAGAGAGAGAGAGAGGGAAAGAGAGAGGGAGAGAGAAAGAGAGATGGAGGGAGAGAGAGAGAGAAAGATGGAGAGAGGGAGAGGGAGAGAGAGAAAAAGAGAGGGAGAGATAGATAGAGAGAGAGGGGGAGAGAGAGAGAGGGAGAGAGGGAGAGAGGGAGAGAGAGAGAGAGAGAGAGAGAGAGAGAGAGAGAGAGAGAGAGAGAGAGAGAGAGAGAGAGAGAGAGAGAGAGAGAGAGAGAGAGAGAGAGGAGAGAGAGAGAGTCGATCTGAGTAAATGTCGGAAGTAAAAATGTGTTATGGTAATCCAGCTGCTCGCTTGCTGGCCGCTGTTGAAGATCGGTGAAGTCTCTTGGGCGAGGCGAAATGGTTTTGTCGTGAACTTTCCTATAGAGTTTCTCTATCCAGCATTTCCTATTCGTAATTCCTTGCGAACCTTTAACTATTCTGCCATCCATCAAATGCAGCACGCATGAAAAGACTGCAAATCAAGGAGCAATTAGTCTGGAACGGAAAAGTATCTGGGCATGCGTACTAGAGCACTTCATGGGCCGGATAAATCCGTTATCCACAGATAAATCCGCGGACCGGATAGGATTGGATTCTAAATTTGTTAAAAAAGAACGGATATGGGCGGGCCGGATTTGGGAATTGAAGGTTGAACCCGGATCAAAACGGATCAAAATTTTAACATTCAACATTGAAGTTAAAAATTGATACCTAGTTTACCAATGTGGTGATTTTCATGTGGTTTTAGGTTTATAAGCATGGTTTTTGGAACCATGATGGTCTGTGAGATGTATGGCTGTCTGGTCCCTTAGATTGAATTTGTTAGTCCAGTTTTGGGTGAAACCAGTTATTGGTGAAACGGATTATTACGGATATTTTTTGGAAGTTTGGCTGCAATACGGGCCATGGGTGGGCCGGATTCTGATATTCAAAGAAAGGCGGATAATGGGCGGATCTGGATATGACTTGCCGGATATGGGCCGGGCCGGATCCTAAAAAGCCTATCCGTGAAGTGCTCTAATGCGTACATATACGTGAATACGTGTATCATAAACGTGTGGGGACATCGAATAGTGCGTAATACACGCACTTTCGATCTTTTAACTGTCGAGCTTGTTGCTCGATAAAGTGCCTAAAAAAGATTGTGCTTTAGTCCCCATTTTAAACTGGATTCTGCGGACTTGCAACACAGGCGAAAATAAAAGCCTATGGCTATTTAAAAAAGTGAGTCACAAAGATGAAGAAAAGCAGAGCAATTAATGACAAAAAACACTTGTAATTCAGGCAAACATTGCGGCTGTTCAATCCTAGGGCAACTTTTGACGTGATGTGACCTGATCTGACCTGACCCGACATGACCTTAGCTGACCTGGACCGGCGTGACCTGGTCTGACCTTCAAATGACGTGATCTGACATAATGGCACATGGTTGGACGAATCTTAGGTAGTTGATCCTATCCGCGGCTCTAACGATATCTTTCTTTACCGATATAAAAATCCGCCGCTGAGCTCGTCGCCGCACGTGCCTGGGCGACGAAGCTGAAAAAAAAAACTGAAAAATAACTGCCGACGGGAAATATAAAATCAGTCAGCCTAAGTTATATTGTTCACATCGGCAGCTTTTCGCGTTCTTGGTGAACGTTGCTATGTGATTTTTAGGAATAAAACTAACCGCAACCGGCAATTTTTATCTTGGTAAAACTGGCCTCAGACGTAACGACCAAATGGCCTTCAACTGACCTAATCCAACCCACGCTGACCTAATTGACCACTGACCTTTAACTGACCTGACCAGACCTGACCTGACCTTTGGCTAGCCTAGCTAACGACATCTGACCTGACCGGCGCGGCGACTGACCTGACCTGACCTGACCTCGACTGACCTGCCGGCGCATGTCGAGCAGCACCCGCCTGGCGGGGTTGTCTCCGACCTGTGCCCGGCACGCCACCGACACCTGCAGTGCCTCTCGGTAGCTGATGACGCTTACAGAGGCCCAGGCGGACGGCGGCGGCGTCATCAAAGGGTACAGCGCCGTCACCGAGCTGCCGCCCACCTGCCGGCAGCGGTGAGGGGTCGGGGGAGGTCAGAGGGGTCGGCGAGCGTCAGAGGGGTCGGCGAGCGCTAAGTGAACGGTCAAAGGGTCAGCAAGGTCAGCGAGGAGTCAGAGGGGTCAGAGGGTCAAAGGGGGTCAGAGAGGTCAAAGGGGTCAGCTATGTCAATGAGATGTCAGAGGGGTCAGCTGGCTAGGAGCTTACGCAAGGACGCCTAATATTGTGCAATGCACATTGTAATTTATTGCCAGCTTCTCCGGTACTGCGAGCAATGCCAAATTGGATATTTAATCAAGCTTTGAAATAAAAAGAAATATTGAAATAAAGCAATATGAGCTGCACCAATTATGAGTCATTCACTCAAGTTTCAAAAAAAAAATCATTTTTTTTAACGCCGATTTAAGTACCTAGTCATCAGTATTGACATTCCTCGCTGTAACGCACATAGTTGATCTGCAAGAGTTTCAAATAAAAGGCGACCTTCACGCACTGCTTTTGAAGGGGCGGCCTTGTTAGGCGTATTGGAAAACAATAATTCCCAGTTTCTTCGGTTGTTTGGTCGTGTTTACCAGAGCTCCTGTTCTATTCTTTCCGTTCCAAACCCTCTACTGTATCACGGTGTCTGATCAGATAACCAGCCAGACAATGCTGCTACAATTTGGCATTCCGAAACATTCTCAGCCGGCCTTATTTGAACACGAAATCAACTAGTGATCGGTAGCGCTGGCCTGTTGAAACGGTCGCGACATCGCCTTGAACTGTCTCCGCGGAGGTTTGCAATTGGAAATAAATTGCCTTAATTCGGGTGGCGATGTTTGAACGGCCGCCGATGGGCGTCGCGGAAGTTAATTTCAGCACTCGGGTCAATCTCAGACTTCAGATGGGTGTTCCGGGTAGGGGGATACACGTGACAGCAGAGACGAGCGCGAGCCGGGTCTGGACAGTATAAGAATGTGTGAGCCTAGTGGAATGATAAAGGGAAAGAGAGAGGGAGAGAGAGAGAGAGAGAGAGAGAGAGAGAGAGAGAGAGAGAGAGAGAGAGAGGGAGAGAGAGAGAGAGGGACAGATTCAGAGGAACTGAAGCGTAATTACAAGACGAACTGCTGTAAGATCTACATGCAATAATTAGCTTGTGTAAGCAGACAAATTAGTTGGAATGTCGGAAGCATCATTAGAATATGAGCCACCTTAGGTGAAATTCTTTCTGCGAGGAGCATGTTGCAGTGCACATAGCAGGCAATTACAAATATTGTGCATTGAAAGCTTCTACATTAACGTCTGCATATGTAAATGGCTGCAATGACACCCAGTCTTTGGAATCATAACTCTGAATAGCCTACCAATATTGGTTCACCTCAAGCGCTCCCAAATGATTCGTAAAATATATAGCCCCATGTCTGGTAATAATTTATATGGTAGCCATTCTCCGTACTAGACTATTTGCATTAATGAGTCCGGCTGAGCTCGGGTTAGTGGCAATAGGGCCGACTGGCTTTACTCGTTACCGAGACTATTGGATGAGTTAGTTTAGTTAAAGGTAGTGTGCCACCTTTGAAAGATTTCCCATTTTATTTTTCCTAGGATAAGAAGCTTCTGTTTTTACCTAATATCGCAAAAAAAAAAAAAAATCAAAAATGGGCCTGGAATAGTGCCTTTTTCGCCTAAAAGTTTTTCGGTTTTTAGATATGTATAACAACTGTAGTGGGCTCACCTGCAAACAGGCGTCGGGCAACAATCGCGAATGCGGCGCACTTGTGACAATAAGCAAAGGTCATTATAGTGTTACGACCATACGACGTACGGGAATGAGTTATCAGCTGTCTAATCGTAGACAACACAATGTCGAGCCTTAAACTGTAAGCCCGTATTGGTATTGTTTCTTTTATTTGGCTGTCGAACATTATTTATGGTTTGAAATATGATTTTATGTAAAATAATTGATATGAAAAAGCCGTCTTATAAGTTATGACCCCATTTCACCACACGCAAGTGGCAGAAATGACAATGATCAGCTGACGCATTTTTCTTGGCCGAAGTCAGAGCGCGCGGCCCGACGCACCACGCGTATTTGGAAATTCCGACCTCGACGAGCATCAGAAGCCACCTAACAGGCGTGTTCGAAACCGCAGGAGATGATGATGAACGGGTTTATCGAAACTTGATTGGATGAGCATATCGGTAATAGCGATTTCAGTGTGTGCATTTATTGTTCATAGTGGTGTGAAATGTGGTTGGGGTACGACCGACAACCCGTCGGGGCGAATTTCGCACTGGGGTAGGTACTCAAAATTTGAAGAATTTAAGACGTTTCCATGAGTTTTGAAGGTATGGATAAGTTCTAAAAATCCGGTTCTCCTTATCTGGGCCATTAACTCCATACGGTCCAAGAAAGCTGGCACACTACCTTTAAATACTTTATATAACACTCCGCAGTCGTCTTTTGATTCACCTTTCAGATATAGGTAGGAGTCTGGTTCCAAAGAGAAAGGAAAGTCCTAACCCAAAGCCAGGATTGAACGTGTCTCAGTTGTTAAAATGAGGCTCAACAGCCGAAATGTCAGCCTCCTGAGAGACGGTCACGGTCCCGTCCCGTAGCCGTATGTCGGTCGCGTCCCGTACCCGTATGGCGGTCTCTGTACCGGTCCGTACCCGTATGGCAGTCTCAGTCTCAGTCTCGGGTCCTGTCCCGGACCTGCCTGGCTGCCCCAGTCCCGGTCCCGTCCCGTACCCGTATGACGGTCCGTCCCGTCTCGTACTCTTATGGCGGCCTCTGGTCCGGCCAGGTTGGCAGTCCCGTTCCGTACCCGTATGACGGTCTCTGTACCGGCCTGTACCCGTCTGACGGCCCCGTTCCCGGTTCCGTACCCGTATGGGCTATGGCCGTCCCGGACCCGGCCCCGTTTCGTACCCGTATGGCGGCCTCTGGTCCGGCTAGGTTGTCAGTCCCGGTCCGTACCCGTATGGTCCCGTTCCGTACCCGTATGGCTGCCTCGGGTCCGGCCAGGTTGGCCAGCAGCAGGCCGGCCGGCGCCAGCACGCAGCGCTGGGTGAGGCGCCGCGCGCAGCCGGCCGGCAGCAGGGTGTAGGCCGCGCGCGTCACCAGGCGGCTGACCGCAGTGTCCGCTGACGTCTTCAGGTCGTCGAGGAGCCGGCGCGCGGCCCAGAGGCGCGGCACGGCGCCCTCGGTGCCGCAGGGTAGTCGCAGCCGTGACAGGCAGCTGGTGTTGGAGAGCCGCAGCCGCCAGCAGAGCTCCTCGTGACGCCGCAGGTCCACCGGCATCACCACCTGTCGGGAGGGGGACAGGTGTCAGATACAGGCCCAACAGCTCTTCGCCGAAGACTGGAACCGGAGCCAAGTCAACCGACCGGCATCACCGCCTGTATGCCGAGAGAGAGAGAGAGAGAGAGAGAGAGAGAGAGAGAGAGAGAGAGAGAGAGAGAGAGAGAGAGAGAGAGAGAGAGAGAGAGAGAGAGAGAGAGAGAGAGAGAGAGGGGGGACAGACACTGGACCGAAAACAGGTCCAACGGCATCACCACCTGCATATATGTAAAGGGAGACAGAGGCTGTGGTCGGGCTGGAGGCAAATGACTTCCAGAAAGGTCGGGTTCAAATGGGTCAGAAAAGCAAATGTGAGATGAGGTGAATGCTAAGATCAAACGTGCAGATGACATAGGGTGGACCAATTGTTAAAGAAAACGTTCTGGGTGCATCACATTGAGCTGAGATATGGGCTGATTACATTGTCATTGATGATTTGCCGTATGAAAATGGATATAAAAGTGAGACAGAAAAATATCACCCGAGCCCCGAGGGCATAGCTGTATTGCACAATCAGTGTGTCCCAGCCACCCGCCGAGCCTGGCTGCCGCACAATGCAATCAGAACTTTGGCACGGCTACACTGGGCCTCTTCTGAGTGCACCCGGTGTGATCAGGCGACTGGATAACTGCGGGACCAGCCAGTCACCAGGCAAACTATCCGCTCAGCGCGCTGCGATCGGAGACTGAGGCGAGCTACAGTCACCGGACAAACTTCTGTGATCTGACGGAAACCTCCCCCTGTGGCTGCCGTGATTACTGTCAACTTTGGACGGAATCGGCCGACGGGACTGGCCGTGTTTTGGCGTTCGGGAGCGCCAACTTTCCCCAACAAGTTAACCAATGATCACAGGCATCGCCGGAGCTCCCCAGAGTTAGTTCGGTCGGCCGATTGCTCCGCAGTTTGATGCCCCGCGGCTGTCGCGCTGATTGCTGATTAGAGCTGGAATCGGACCAGAAGATGTTTTGGCAGGGCCACAGTAAATAAGCAGACGCAGCAGCTTACCTATGCTGCACGCCTGATGCAGGAAATTTGACAGGTTGTTAAAACATCGCTGCATAAGCGTGGTGGCTCGTGGTGTAAACTCCACGGTCCTGGTCAACATACATATGACAGATTGCACATGACAGACGTGTCAGCAGACACAATTTTTATGCGATCGAGAAGAAATCCGTCATACCTCAGTTAACCTATACAGAGGTCTTTGGATCCAATACTTCCAGCCGCACCACGCCTAAATTGCGGCCATTTCTCAGCCTTCGGAACTATGAAAACGGAGAAAAATAAGTACGATTGGCTTTCTTCGTATATCAGTATGGATGAGCACCCTATGGAAAACCAACATTGCAACGTCTGTTGAAAATTGCATTGATCCAGGCGCACAACAGCAGATTCCATGTGTATTTGCGAGAGGAACTGCTCGGAAGGACTGCGTGCATTGCCATGAAAAGAAAATATCCACTCTCAATTCTGCTGAGATCCAATCCCGGTTCTAATCAAAGCATATTGAGCTGGCTGGGCAATAGGCATAACCGCATAGCACTTGAGATTGAGAGCCCAAGAGAGTATAATTATTGCCTTTTTATATGCACTTATTATGGCAACTGTCAGGAAAATAACTCAGAAACCACTTATTCTATGAAAGAAGGCCTATTATACAGATGTATCGGCAACACCAAAGACAATTTAATAGACCACAGACACCTTACATCGCACGGAGTTCTTTCGGTACATAGCAATAACTCACACTATTATAAGCCTCCTCGAAAGCCACTCTAGTCTCATATACTACTGGGACTGACAGATGGACATCTCACGTCAGATCCTGGAGGTCTACCAAAGCTCATCAAGGTCCATCGGGGCATGTGACGATTGTCCCGGAGCCGGCCTCTGTCTCTGATAATGACAGCGAGGAGGGCCATTAGTTTTGATTTTCCGCCCGGCGGCGTCGCCGTCCCGCGGGTCTTTCTGTCCGCCCCTGTGACGTCATCCTTTGTTGGGTGACCGCAGTCCCGCTGCGAGGCACTATATTGGCTCTGGACGCAATAACCGACGGCACCGATGGCTGTCGGGTGACCGCCGCCCCACGGCCGAGCCTCCCCGCACTGCGGCCGTCGGCTGTTCCGCCGTACCCGGGGTCACGGAGTCGGAAAAGAGTCGGCAAAGTCCGATATGTATTGATGAACCTGTTTCGATGCTTGTTTATAGTTTATCGCCCAATCAGTGTTGCAAGGTTGATTTCTAGAAAGCTCTTTCGAGTTAGGTAACTGTCTTGTTTAGCTGGTTTGAAGCTCTGCTAAGGCGTCTTTCACAGCGTGATTGATTTATGTAGGTACCTATATTCGCAGCCTCAGCTCTTTCCAGCCTCCTTCTTTTCATGCCCTTCCCCTCCCCCACACCAGGTGACGACTGGGAACGGTCTCACCTATTGCCATCAGGCCGAGATCACGTTTGTCTAGCTGTGACTGTGCGGCGTGCGTTGTCCCCACAATCCAAACAAATGCAAAGCCGCGGGGAGCTGGCAGCGGGCAGCTCTGCCCCAAGGCGGACCCACGCCGTCAGCCAAATCCAGCCGGGGGCTAAGCCGGAAAGGAATTACGTCTTCGCTGATACGAGCTGCGGCGTCAGGACGACAAGGAAAAGCTGGCGGGCTGCGGCTCTCAGCTCCGTGGCGCTGTTACCAGGCGCACAGTGGCATTGTGGGAACGGGATTTATAGACGGGAGGGATCTACTGTTACTGTTGTGTGAACACACTACTGTTAACGCCAGACGCCTTGAGACCCTAATTTTTCGCGATTATTTTAAAATGCGTGGACTAATTTAAACCATATTTAGGAAATAGCTGTTTCAAGACCTGCCGAAACTTTTTCTTCAAATACATTTTGTTGTCACTTGAATATTTGTGGCACTTGTCATTGACTCGTAATGTTAACCCGCGAGTTGCTGGGGGGGGGGGGCGTTAAACGCCCCCACTTTTTTCGCCGGGCCATAGCATAAAAACGGCGCGCCGCAGGCGCGCCAAATTTTGGGTACCTGTAGGGAATTGATTGAAGTTTATTGTGACAAAGTTTAAAAAAAATCGGTCAGAAAATTTTTGAGATATCGAGGTTTTAGTGACGTCATGATTTCTGAGTTTTCGACCAAAAACGGCATATGTTCAAAAAATCATATAAAATCACAGAATAGAGATATAGACATGCCGTAAACGCCATTAGACTGCCAATACCATGGTCAATCAAATGGCTATCTTCGATTATTGATTATCGTTCCGCATTTTCCATAATCTTGAACTGAATCTTGGCAATTTTTCGTGACTCCTTCACGACCATGATACATGAATTTCTTAAATTTAACTTTTTGAGCCAAACACGTACACATATGATAAAATGAATGTCACCATCGTGTTCTACGCCCCAAATTACCCATAAAACATGTGTCACAGGCTGCGAATATCAGTTTTGATTTTCGGGGATATGTGCCTACCCGGTTGACCTGACCTTGACCCTGACCTATGCTTGACTGACCCCTACATGGAGCTGACACTCTTGTAGGCCTTATTAGATGGATTGTGCACCGTTTTCACAGCGTTTATGGCGAGAGGCGCCCATTGCGAAGTCCTGAAGTCCATGCCACTGAAAGCCCGATTTCAGGCGTTTGACCTGACCTTGACCTGACCTGTGACCTCAAAATTCGACTTTAAAATACTCATCTGAAGCGTCTCGTCGCGCTCTTTCGTTTGCCGCCTCGTGCGTTTCGCTGCGCCTATTGGTTCTCGAGTTATCGGCTGGGGGCGTTTAACGCCCCCCCCCCCCAGCAAACGGTGGGTGGCGAAATACCCCAGCAACTGCCGGGTTAACTGTTTTTCCATCCTGGATAGAGGCTTTCATACGTCATATGACATTAGGCTCCGCCCACGACTGCGGCATTGACCCGTGCCCATCAGCGACCTCTGTACAAACGACACCCCTGCCATCTGTAAAGGAGTAAGGACTATGAATTTCGCTGACGTTTCACGTGCTATGAATCAATTGCAGCAGGCCGTCATGTAAATGTTAGGCTCTTGTTGACTATTGTAGGTATATGGGACCAAGACGACCATTACTCATCAATCTACTACTCACACATGCTTCGAAAAACGTTAACGATTCCTAACAAATACGATTTTCGATGTAGGATATCTGTTTGGTGAAATACGAGCGAGCCTTATAGTGAAGCGAAGGCAATTAGCTAATTATTGCGCTGGTCGATGGGTGCATAGCGATGTACAAATCAGGAGCTACTTGATGACATCCGACATCCCATTATCGCATTATCTGCAACGCCATAGACTTTAAATACAGTTGAATATTTCCTAACCTTATGTCAGTTATAATATGCCATCTGCCCGTCATTTGCAGCTTATAAAAATAAAACAAATATCAGCGAACATATCAGCATTGTACAAGCAATGCGCATTGAGCATTTATGGCTCCTCAGTCATCATGTCGCTCTTTGGGCACTGTCAGACAAGACGTTAGGCACAACTCCGCCGGCTTTCGGCACCGCTCGACCGTCCCCGCTCCCCGCCACAGCGCGAGTGACCGCGCGCCGGCCCGAAACCGCCGCAGGCCAAGACCACAGAAGCGGGGCTTAGCTGTGACGTCATAACGTATCACAGACTGACTGGTGATAGCCTCTACACGCCGGGTGAAAATCTTGCTCGAAATTTAACATTACGAGTCAATGAGAAGTGCCTGAAATATTGAAATGGCGACAAAATATCTAAATTGTAAAAGTTTCGGCAGGTCTTGAAACGGCCATATCTTGAGTTTGGTTGAAATTCTTCCATGCATTTCAAAATAATCGCGAAAAATTAGGGTCTCGAGAGGTCTGGCGTTAACGATGTCAATCGGATACCAACTTTTTGGTATACCGATACCAAACCGATACCAACTTGGTATTTGGTATTTCAAACCTAATGTACTTGGTATTTTGTTGGTAAATTATGAGCCCTCACTAATGTATAAGAAGGCTGAGAAGTTGGTAAAAAATCGGTATTTGCCTCATGTTATGAAGTTGGTTCGGTTTCGGTATTTTCCCGTGGTTTTGGTTGGTATTTGGTTTGGTATCGGTATTCAGATGTTCTGTAATTGACATCACTAGAACACACCACACAGCTACCTGGTGTGGAGGCGTGAGGCAAGTGAACAGACCAACTGCATAGCACCCATTATTACATTGCTTGTATATTTATTGGGTGTGCAATAATTTTGACTCATGTTGACCACAATTTCCACATTAAATTTCCTTCTGAAGAAATACAAACTTTTTTTAGTGACACCATGCCAAGGGGCAATAGAAATCTGCGCGTGGTTGCGTCCTTTTTCAATTTTATTTTGAGCGGCGACATATTTAATGATATTTTTTAACGAGTTCGGGTGGATCATGTATAAAAATAAGTACCTACTCTATGGGGTAGGGGCAATACAATATTTATTACCCTCTCTGACGCCACTGTAGCCCTCGGGCGAAGACCTCGACAAGCATTATTGCCCTCAGCTACGCCGGGCAATAAAGCATGTTTCGGTCTTCACCCTTGGGCTGCAGGGACGTCACATCGGGCATAATTTGTTACTTTTGCTCGCTACCCCATACAGCATTTATATATCGGATGGATACTGCGGGCTCTCAATCCTAGTAGGATGGGAACCCCAATCTTGGCCTCAGACTGTTATCTTCAGCTTGGCTAATTGGTGCAATTGTACTTTTTGCTTCCGAAGCTGGAAAGCATGCATGACAGGCAGTCTTCTGAACTGTTTCATGTCCTGTCTACCTACTACGGAATCGACCTTGTATTCCTTCTACATTACGTCATATCGGATGGCATCTATTACGATTTGGCATCAGTTCTCTCATAGTCTCCATTACGTTTTTGTGAGCCCAGAACCAACCTTCCATAAATTCAATACTTGAGCATTTTCTGATAGGCCACTGGCCATACAGCAACTGGGCCCTTCCGTTTATACTAATACCACACACTTCCCCTGTTCTGTTTCATTAATGCCTTATCCTTTCATGTTCTCGCAACGTTAGGTATCATGTGCCGGTATGCTCCCTGCTTAAATATTTAAATATAATCAAGTTAGCTACCTTTCACTTTGATAGTCACTTGGCAACCAGCCTGTAATCATAATTAAGTTAGTTCTTGAAGTCAGATATCGTTGACGGAAAAGCAGGTCTAAGCGCTTCCACTTTCCAGGCACCTTGTTTTTGGGATCAAATATCACGGGAGTCGTCTAAAATTTCCTCTAGACCAAAGCTGCAAGGGCAGTCAACATGTGAAGTGAGAGTTCATTTATGAATAATACATGGTATACGGAATGAAGTGCATTATATTTTACGTTTCAAATGAGCAGCAACATTTTCCCGTCGTGCCAGCGGCCATGGTAGAAATACTTGGGGCGTGGCGTGAAGAAACTGCATTCAAGATAAAAGCATTACTGTTTCAGAGCACGAGTTTTGCCTTGCCGTCAAATCCTTATCGACACAATATTTGTTGGTAAGTGCTGGGCTGTTTGCATTGCAGAAGAGCGCGTTGCTGATGGGTTTACTGTATTAAAAAAGGTAAATCGATGACAGTGCACTCAGTCTGGTGGCTCTATGACTATATCCTCTCTACTGGAAAGAACAATCCTGTCACCAGCATTACCTACCCACCGCACTGTGGCGAGGAGCGCGGGCAGGCTGAGACCGAGACCAGCATGGGTGAAGGAGAAGGGTGTGAAAGGGAAATGGGAGCGGCGTGGTGCCGCGAATCTACCACTGCTGCCGCTCACCCTTCACCCGGCCCGGTCCCCTCACAAAAGCACCTGTCATTCATAGTCCAGCCCCGGTGACCCACTTCCCACCGGGAATGAAAGAAGAGCCGCACTGCTCTTCGAGAGGGGCTGCCTGTTTATTTCGGCACCCGTTCGCGCCTGTTTTCGTGCGCTTCCCCCCCCCCCCACCCTTCTGATCGCACCGGTGGGCACGGGAAAGGCTTATTGTCCCCGTCCGACCATCCAAAACAGCACTATCCGATCGGGTCTCGGATCATTCTCCCCCGCCGCCGGCCGAATCGACGCCGGACGGAGCTGCCGACGGTGGCGTGGCGCCTGGTATGGATAAATTCCAAAAAAGTAACAAAACACGTCCAAAAAAAATGTGCTAACCCCCACAGGATTCAGGAATCAACAGCGCATTAGATATATGTTCATTGCTGAGTGCTGACGCTACATTTTCCCTTGTAACGATATGGATGGGACTTGTGCTATTCTGATGGGCATGTGTGGTGCACTGAACTAACTCCTATATGTTGAGAAGTAATTTGGGAATATTTTCAAAGTTAATACCCATTACCCAAGCGCATGACCTCAACTCATATGCCGTTAACAAGCTTTCACAGTACGGTACAACCAGCAATTAAGTCGTTCAGGTGCATCAAAGAATTAGCTGCTAATCCTACGTCTATACCGGGCTCCGCTGCTGCGGACAAGCAGGCAGGTTGATTAGGTTTATCACTTATCGGAAATATCGGCACGATCAGGCTCGTCACGAGGGCCGCTGCACGGCTGGTCTATTTGTGGACAACGAGCCTATTCTTTGGGCAATTATCAACCGTTTGTCAGTCACATGTCAGAATCCACTCAACGGGAGCCGCCCTTCATTAAAATCATAATTCAGCAGCGAACGGCGCTTAGTTAGGCAACAATCACGACCATTGATGGACATTGGCCTAGTTTATATAGATACATATAGGCAGGCTGTATGCCTAAGAATAGGAATGCCACATGTTGTGACAGATTCAAAACTTCCCAGAGATCAACACAACGCATTATGAGGTATTGTAGGCATAGAAATGTCTTTTTATTAAAGTTAAATGGGATGTTTTCAATGAACGGATTGACAAAGCCAGAGCCCGCGTCGAGTGGAGCTTGCTGCGCAGCCTTTGGACTTTATGCTACCGTACAATCGGGAAAATTTCGAGTGATTGGGAGAATAAAAATCGAAGATCAACGTTCTGATATTGGACGTAAATTAAATTTCTCCGTGTGCTGAAAACAAACCATCAGACTGATTGATAGTCGTGCAATTAGCTCAAATGTCCTCCAGCCCGAATTCAGGTCACTGATGACGTCACCAGTTTGTTAAAGCTCGCTTAGCTGTTATTTCCTCGTTGGCTGGGAAACCGGCCGCTCGGTAGCATATGCGCCATTATAGCCAGGCCACTGACCATCAAATACGCGATGGCCCAATACTTAGACTGACCGCGCTACCAAATGAGATGGCTCGGTATCCACTGATTTCCAACACCCATTCCTATTTCCGTATCTGACCTGAGTGTTTTGAATTGAACGTTAGTTTGCAAACGGTACCAATTTCGTGCTCATTTGGGATGCATTGCATTACTTCGGAGCTTCGTTACGTAATCGTATCTGTAACGTACCTAAATAACTATGGATTTGCCTATGACCTTCCGGTGCTTGCTCTACGAATGCAAGTTAGGTTCGTGCATGCAGTGTGTGTGGAAAGCTTTCACCCGCTTAAGCATGTGAAGGATTTGCGACCACGCACACCAAGTTATCGGATTAATACACGCTTTCAAACAATGTATGATGCTTTCTTGTAAAAAGGCCGCATAAACAAACGATATCGATTTAAAAGACAAGTAGGTACCTCAAGGTATTGTAAAATACCTACTTTTATTCAATATGCAATATCATAAATCAAAAGACGTAAATAACTTTGCACGTAATTACAATATACATTCGATCAGATGAACGCGATGCTGACGTTTTGTCCTCACAATCTGTTGCTCTTGAAAGCCTCACAGTGTCCTGCGTTGCTCTGCTTTCTGTTTTCGTTTGCCCTCCCCTCTCCCTCTCTATAGATCAGCCTCCGTAGCGTCATGATGTGCCCGCGGCTCCGCCCGAGGGCGATCAGAGAGGAGGGGAGGGGAGGGGAGGGAGGTAAACCAATCAGAGTCGCGGCAGACCCACCCTCGCCCATAACTGGCGGCCAGAAGAGAGGTGCGGCACTCGGAGACTGACCGGCCAGGACAGAGGACAGGAGCGGACGGCAGAGCGAGAGAGAAGTGGACACAGCGAGCGGCCAGCCGGTCATACGTAATGGGTAGGTCTGGCGGGGTGGGGAGTGAAGGGAGGGGAGGGGGGCTGGAGCCGTAAGGCAGGGTGCCACTCACGGCTCCTGACTCAATTTGTCGTGATAGAGCATTTTGAATCAATTACAGGGTCACTCGAAGTTGAAGTAGGTACCGAGGGTTTATCATCATTCTTTTTAGTTTACAGGATGAATCGAACGATATATTCCATATAACATTTCTATCCGTGATTAATCTTGTTTATCTACTCTTATGCATGAACAGTGAACACCAAACGCGAATGAACCTTTTTAGAGCTCTGTGTGCCTGTGCGTGTTAAAGGGGGGGGGGGGGGGGGTGATCAAAGAACGGGAGCAGAGCTCAGTCTTACCAACAACAACATCAACAACAACAACAACAACAACAACAAAAATAGCCGCCTGCCGGAATTTTTTGCCTAAAGAACGCTTCACATACGGAGCGTAAACGCGATGGGCATGTAACTGATAGGGCTTTATCGTTTACGCTCTGTACGTGAAGCGGTCTTTAGGCAAAAAGTCCGGTAGGTGACTATTTTTCTGTTGGTAAAACTGGCCTCAGGTCGATGAACACGGTAAATGCCCTCATGCCACGGTAAATGCCCTCATGCCATTTCTCTACAAGCCGCGGTTCGAAATGCATGTCTTTGCCGTCGAAACCATGAAAAAATCAAACAACTTTCTTAGCTATCTTTATTGGCTCACTTTTTATATTGCATATACCTTTGTACTTCCTTTCCTCCTTATATCGACTTCTAAAACACGACAGCTTTGGACATAACATTGTTCGACACGTCAAATATGCTCATCTTACTTTTTATGATATTTAGTCAGTTTCGATGGTTCAAAAGTTTCAAAAGGTAACGGCTTTTACAGACTCCTGTTCTACGCCTCTAGACTACACATTGGTGGCTTGTTTTCGTCTCAGCTCAACGAGGTTTCCATAACTCACGTCCGAATTTGCCGCTCGCGTGGAGTCAATTTTGCCAATTCCTAACTTTTCCCCGCGGCGAGGACACGGGCCATTTCGCTTCTGCATACACAACTGGGGTAGGACGGTCCGTCCTACCCAGTCCCGCCTCTGCTAGTGTGCGGAAAGGTTGATAAAATACCGTCGACAGTTGAGCGGTGGCGGTGCGGCTGACGTCGGCCCGGCACCCTGCCGCCGGCCGCCGCCCATGCATGTTTTAGCAGCGGGCCGGCGCTCGGCGCTGGGCCGTCTTACAGACAATGGGACCGAGCGCCGCCCGCGCGCTGCGTATTGTTTCAGCTAGAGGTATAGAGGCTGAAGGAGTTCCGGGCGTTGTACTTTTTTTGTTTTTTTTTAGCTACCAACGCACTGTAGGCCGGCAGCCTGAAAAAGCGCTAGAAATTCCCCCAAACTGACTGTCCGCAATATGAACAAAATAGGTATCATTTAATCCCAAATTTATCGAAGAATACGATTCCGATGCTTGTTTTGCCCTAAGGTCAAAATTGAGGTCGTCAGTTGTCACCAAACACAAGACAATTTAGACTCTCTATAGGCCACCACATTTACCGATTTTAATGATGAACTTTAGTGGTAATTTATTAGTTGACCAATCGTCGTTTTGAACGAAATTTCCTGTCAGACTAGTTCAGGGCACTGTTGTTCACTGTGCCAACATCATTCTGACATATTGCATCGCTTTTCTGCAAGATAAGCTAGCTGTTTGCAAGCAGCTGCAAGACGTAATTTAAAATCATATCCAATTTTTTAATTAGACTTTTATAAAAACGTTATTTCTAGCGGCTAAAAATGAACATTTCATACTAGCCTCTGATTACTCATCTTTTGTTCCATATAGGTGCTTTGCTGCTTTTCCCTGCTACTTTTCGAGATATGCGCCAGTAAACCACATGATGTAGGGGCAATTGTCACCTCGCCGCTCTACTGAAGGCCCGGCGCTCTTTAAAACGCTGGAAGTTGTGAACAACAAACGCTTATAATCTAAATGAAATATATGTCCCTGAGCTCAGAATTGATCAACGCACACAATGCTGTCAACATTTCTGGGCCAAACTCAAAAATTCAGTCATTATTAACCCCTAAACACAAGTCAGTGATAATCAACAACAACTTGCTCTTTAGTTAGACTTTTTGATAAATGTTATTTCGAGCCGTTAAAAATGGCCATGCCATACAAACCACCAATCATCTTTCTGTCATGCCCTACTCGCAATTTCTGCTAATGCCTGCTACTCTTCGAGGTCACGTGACCTCACCATTAAAAAGTGAATGGGGAAATAAGGAAACTGTTGTTTTTGCGCATGGAATGATTTCAAACTATCTCAAGCACACGGAATCGTGATTTCGTGCACTCCTTGCAAGATCCGATGCTTTACTTTTGCATTTTTGACCTTCCGTGACGTCATTTATGACGTCACACCGGTCAAAGGAGTTTCTCGTCAATAACTCATGATCAAATTAAGCCAGCGACTCGGGAAAGCCACCAATGGACTCGGGAAGACCTCCCGAATCGAATGATATGCGATACGACCTCCTTCGATTAAGTTCGTGGCCTGATGGGCTCTGAACTGACCTTGACTCGAGGTCAATACCTTAAGTTGACCTCACCCGAACAAAAAGTATACCATTCGACGCGCCTGAGCCAGGCGAACACGATGGTGCCAAAATCGCTGCTCTGCGGCCATTTTTTGCGAAATTATTTGCCAAAAACCAAACCCTACCTTGGGCTTTTTGACTTCACCTCAGAGGTTACCGGTTGACCTGGGACCTTAAAATCGGGTATCAATCGTTCCGCCTTGAAACGGCGCACACGCTTGTTTTTCCGCGAGGCTCTAGCTCCATTAGAGGCGAAACGGCAAAAAGGGGTCGTACCAACCCTCCCCCCTCGGCCGGCCGAGGGGGTGGGGGGTCCGACAATAGGTCCGACGAGAGTTAAGCAGCCCCACTTCGTTTTTAGCATGTTTGCTTGTCACTGAGATCAACAACTCAATCACAAATAATTTCTAGCACTTTTCCGGACACCCGGCCCAGTGTGCAACGGAGTCTGTACGGGGTGGTAGAGAAGAGAGAAACCGTCAGTTTTGAAATTCTAAGAAAACCGATGGCCAAAGGTGAATTACATATTTACCGGTATGTAAGACTCGTAAAGCAAAAACAAGTGCTTATTCTGGTTTGCAATCCGTAGTGAGACATTTTATTAATTTTCGCTATTTGCAAGGAAGACGTACATTACAGCCTAATTAACTATCTGCGACAGTGAATGCTTCGCATACTTAGCATGCTCCGCAACCGGAACTCTTCAACGAAATTGTGTAAAGTGTAAACCATTCTTTGGCCCCAATCCTCATATTCGATGTGAATTCAATTGTAACTGTTGAATTGACTGTCTCGCACTATTTCAAACAACATTTCCCTCTGCTTTGTCTGCCTCATCTCCAAATCAGGCAAGCTCCCTGAAATTGAGGGAAAAACATGCTTGATGTTGAATGCTTGTTTCCAATCATCGCTTCAAATTGAATATCGACGCCGTTACATTAGGTTTCGTTCTTTCATTTAAGTTTGGTGAAGTGCAATCTCGTAGTTCTCTATTTTGCAACTCTGCTACATTCCTTAATTGGTTGGATTTCCCAAGATGCGAAGTTTGAAGCCATTTAGCATGTCTTCGTGAGCTAAATGAGATGACGATTCATCACAGTACGAACTTCCGAACTTTTCGGACCAACTGAAAAGACGCGCACGGGTGGTCGGGTGTTTGTAGCTAAAAAAAATGACATGCAGATGACTACGCTTCAAATCAGTTTATATTTGTAGAAAGGAGAACACATAAAAAACATCGGCGTGAAAGCCGGACGGCATTGGTTGCGCTGACTTCCCGTCTGTCTGTTCCAGCGCGTCTGATGCTGATGGTGTCTGTACTGCTGACGCTGACCGCGCTCAGCACGGGAACGCTGAGCGGTGGCGGGCTCAGCGTTTCGGCCAGCGGCTGTGCGGGGCCGCTGTGCCGCCTCCACCAGATCAAACGACGCAAGGAGGCGGCCATCCTGAAGGTGCTGTCTCCTGTCGGTGCCCGGGACACCCTGAAGCCGAGTCGCAGCGGCGCCGCCGGCGACCAGCCGATGGCCGTCATCGTACCCAAGGAGCGTCTGCCGGCGGCCGGCGCTGCCGCTCCCCCGGCGGCCGGCGCTGACGCCGCCCCTGCCGCGGCCGGCCCACTGACCCCGTCTGACCCGGCCGGCCCCGCGGCGACTCTCCCGCCGGGCGGCTCTCGGGTGCAGGCGGACGCCGCGGTGCAGCAGAGCACCTCGGGGACCGTGGAGACCACCCAGGTGGGCGCCCAGGTGACCGCCGTCCGGGACACGGCGGACGATCGGCGCGGAGTGTCCGTCACAGGCGGACTGGCCGTGGCCGGTAACCTGCAGGTCGGCACGCCCTTCGGTTCCATCAGCATCTCGGACGCCAAGGCTCAGACGGCCCAACAAAGCAAAACCATCCCATTGCCTCTCCTCAATGGAACTCTCCGCAGCAGGCAATAAAGATGTCTTGGATTTAACTCTTGTGTTTTATCTTGTTGATCTGTTTCTGATGGTCGTAACACACGGCAAATCATCGTGCTCCCACTTACATCGTGCAATGGTGAGACAGAACGTATACGCAGCGCGCTCATTCTCTCCGGCAGGCATCACAGTTTCCATATTTCCCCTACACCTAAAGGTGAGGTCAAGTGACCGATCTGACCTCGGGTCACCCTAAGGGAAAATCCCAGTTAAGTTGTGCAGCCTTGGGAGTTTACAGTACAGGGAAGTACAGCCTCTTCTAACAGAGGGCGTTGCCATTGCAACATTACAGGACCGTGCAGAGGTTCACTTACTTACTTAACTTACTTACTTACTTCGATAGGCGTTATCACAAGTGTATTCGCGGCCATTGGGGCGACGTAAGAAAAGAAGAAACCAACTGGCCCCAAGAACTTTAAATTATCAGTTAGCATGCACCTTTTCCTTGATGTGCAAAGAATTTACCATTATTTGTTACAGAAAATTGCATTTAAAATCTTCCATTTATGCTTTTTTCATCGTTTGCGAAATATGTTCTTTTACTAAGCTAGAAACACTAATTAGAAATAGTTCCCGCATCATCAAGAACAATAGGGAAGGCTTGAAGTGAATAAAATAAATTAAACGGCTTTGTAATATATGTGAAGGCACTTCTAAAATTGCCTGTAGAAATATTGAAGGCAAAAGTTCAGCTTTTTCACAAGAAGGATGTCTATAAACCTATTTAACTTGTGACAACTCAGCCGGTATTTCGTCGCCTACAGCCCAGCTTTCCCTAGTGACCGATAGAGGCGCTGCTATCGATGTCCGCCCGTGCCGCCTAACGTACTTACTTACTTACTTACTTACTTACTTACTTACTTACTTACTTACTTACTTACTTACAGAGGTTCATAGGTCAATGACTTGACCTGACCTGAAAATGCGGTTGGTGGCGAAGGATCCGGCTTGTATTAAAGAACAGATGTTCAAACTTTCAGCTCTGTCACTAATCAATTGCGAAAAACCGTCAGCCGAGGTACCCTCCATCCCTTCGTCCAGGGAAGGCTGAATAGGGCACATTACGCACTGGGACCCGGCTCGGCGGTACCGTATGGGTACGGGTCAAGGGACCAGCGCCAGCGCCTTGCAGGGCGATGGACACAGATACACAGTCATTGCGGGGGAGTGGGAAGCAGCCCCGGGAGTGCAGCAGAGCAGATCCCGACGGTAGCTGAGCAGAGGCAGCGACAGGGGCGAGCAGCTGGACAAACATCAAACGACATTACGGGAGACGAAAAACAGGCTGGAAATTCGCTACTGTTGTTGAATTTCACGAACGCATTAAAGCGAAGAAGCGAAGTTAAGAAATGGCTTCCAGCTCATGTAAGCAATGCGCTTCTCAGAATCACGCCGAATACTATTCCATTGGTATTTCGGCATTTGCGAGTTCCTTAAAAAAAGTGCCAATTGGTATATTAAAAACTGCGTGCTACTTTTTTATTTGCAGCCTGCAGGCCGTCAGCAACATATTCAATTAAAACTTGGATGAGCGTTTGCATCAGCAGTTTTGCTCCTGCTATGGTTTGTCCGTTTGAAATGACTCAATGGACAAAAGGCTAAATTCTTTAGCTGCCAGGTCTAAGTGTGTGTGTGTGAGGGGGGGTGTATGTGTGTGTGTTTTTTTTAAGACTTGTCATCTCGCGTCTCTGATTACTATGATCTACAAAGAGAAGCATATCGTTTTTTTTCCACAGCGTTGCTACGGAAAATTCCGATAGTGCTTGGGGCAGCGGGCGTCACCATCAAAGTCACGTTCGACCCACGTCACATCCACACTATCATTCCACTCGCCAGAACAGAAGGGCTTTTAAAATGTCGGCGAATTCGTCCTCTCTCTCCCCTCAGCTCGGTCACAGCACACCGGCCAGCCGGCTGTTTCAGCAGTCAGCCAGCGTCCGAAAGCAGCAATCTCTGAGCACGTGTCGCTGACAACTGCGACCGGTCACGCGCCGGGGACCGTCGTCGGCCTTTAACTTCACCGCCTGTGCGAGGCAGCGCGGAGACACGATACTTTATTTCAGCTCTTTCATCCAAATCGTGAGACGAATAGTTGGCCAAGCAGCAAAGTTTGTCACCGGAAAATTTATCTTTATTTTTACACCACCACCTGTTATGCAGTGGGCATATTTAAATAAAAAATCACCGATGGGTACAATATGTGTCAAGTAAGCACTGCACGGTGCACAGTGCTCAGTGCACCATCAGCCAGCTTTATTAGCTGTGATCTATCGAGTCGTGGCACGCAGTGAGTATCCATCACTACATGCCGTACTCGTACCACATTCTGACACGGCCCGTGGATGGATCATGATGCCATTTCCGCTGCCATGACCGGCGGATGGATCATGATGTCAGTAGCGGGCCCGGGTCGGTAGGAGTAAGTACTCCCGAGGGTCACAGGGGATCCATCTCCTATTCCGCCCTCGCCTCTCTCTCTCTCTCTCTCTCTCTCTCTCTCTCTCTCTCTCTCTCTCTCTCTCTCTCTCTCTCTCTCTCTCTCTCTCTCTCTCTCTCTCTCTCCGCCTCTCTGCGGCTCTCATTCAGGCCCCGCACTGCGCTGTGACAGAGCCCCGTTGGGGCGGGGGCGGGAAAGAGCGCGGGGGCGGGGGCCGGGACGAACCGGGTGGAATCCGTTCACATATGACCAGCCTATCGATTGCTCCGTCGTCGCTGCGTGCCACTCGTTCCGGGGTGCGCGGTCTAATGGCGTCCGATTGACGCACCGGACGCCGAACGGGTCCCATCTACAGGACCAACTCAGAAAAGTCTCAGCCGTGCAAAGGAGCGAAACCTAGTTAGCTATTGTTTAGATCAGTTAAATTGACAAACCGACATTACATAAAAGATCTTGTTGTGCTTGCAAGGGTAAATTGCGATTTGTTTTCAAGCCGCTGCAGTGTAATTTTTGTACCTACTTGTACCTAAATAAATAGCAAGCAAGTAGCCGAATTTTTCAGTTATAAAGGTGCAGTGGTACAAAGATAAGGGCCTAAGGGGTAAAAATAAAGCTAGGAAAGTTACGCTCCTCGACTTTGCCCCCCCACCCCTTTGTTCTCATCAAGAGTTTGTATACGAAAAAGAAGCCCTTTAGAATGACATCTAGGTGTCGTAAAAAAGTCTTTTAGCCATTTGCTTATATTTACAAAGAGGGCCTTACAAATCCCTCGGCCCTCCCCTCGTTTTTTTTTTTGTCACGACCGCTTGCGTAAAAGGCGGTGGATCGCAACGAAATTTCCAATACCTACCCTCAGATAAATAGTTTTCAACTGCCCAAACATTCTTGACCGTTGACCTGTAATCTTGAGACCATGTTAGGCCTTTAACCCGCGACCTGGTGGGGGGGGGGCTATTTTTTGCCCCCCCCCCCTCCAGACTTTTCGATATATCTCCAGAACCGCTGCGCCGATCGTCAGCAAACTTTCAGTACCCTCCCGGACATCAATTTTACACATTGTGACCAAAAATTATTCCAAAAGCTATGATAGGTTGGCCGGAAATGACGTCAGAGTGACGTCATGTTCTACCGTTTTCGACCCAAAAAAAGGGTTTCGCGGGAAGAGCTGTCAGGCCTACAGCTTTGCAAATACAGAAAAATGATAAGGACATAAAAGCTGTAGAATTGACAGGGCTACAAAACTGTCATCTCGGATTTGATTTTTTTTTATTTTGACCCCCAAAATAAAAAATTGATTTTTTGGATATCATAGTCGAAAAATCCAAAAAAAATTGAATTTCGTAAAAACCGGAATATATGTGATAGTTCTTACCGCCTTCCATCCACATACCACAGGGCGTATTTTAAGGGATTTTCACTGGGTCGGCAATCACAATTAGGGGCGGCATTTTGCACTCATAGGGGCGGCACTTGGCATCTGAGGGGGCGGCATACCTACTGATATTTAATGACCAAAAAAGACACGTTCGACGGTTCTTTTATAACTCTTCCTAAGTAATGATTTCAGATTCAACCTAAGCTCAGCGGTATTACGTTTATTTTTCCGGGATATAGTATTTCTCTCATCATAATGCGATAAATGAACTATAATTTGACCTAACAAAAAATAATTTTAAAATTTTACCTGAGGTAAACATGTTACATACCAGTCGATTCGTATCGTCAAGCTTAAAATATTCACGGCGTTTTATGGCTCTATCTAGAACAGTGGTCGGCAGGTCGCACGAGTGTGCCCACTTTATGGGCGCTGGACGGGGCCATTACCCCCACTTGTCATACCCCATTGCTTACACAGCAAGGGTCGCTGATATTCGGCCATATCCTTTGACGCCTCTATTTTTCTGCATAGGTATAAATAAAATGCAACACAATTAACTCTCTTTTTTATGGAGAGGGAGAGCGTGTGGAGTAAGGATTAACTCATACATTTTTTATTTATTAGTTACTCGCGTAATGAACAGAGTATTGCAACGATACGTTCATCCCTCCCCCCCCCAGGTTAATGAATGTTATACCTACCTACTCAAACATTTTCGTGACCCCAGTGACATTGTCATTGAGTTTTTGAAATTTGAATGACCTTCACTCGGTAACTTTCTCTCCGGCTCGGCCGGCGGACAAAACGCAAGCGAAGACAATGCGGGGAGTCCGGTGCTCTACCAACTGAGCCACGGAACAGGCAAATGCTCACCATAGATATACCGACTGAACGATCCCTTTATAACTTCAGCGATTGATAAGACAAACAGTGTGTAACTGTATATATAACCCTCGCCGGCACAGGCCATTTTGAGTCCTTCGACGGCACAAGGTTGGTTGGTACGACCCCCCCCCCTCGCGTTTGGCCCCTGATGGAGCTAGAGCTTCGCAGAAAAAAACGAGCGTGTTGCCCGTCACGAGAGGAAGCCAATGATACCCAATTTCAAGGTCCTAGGTCATCGGTTGACCTTCCAGGTCAGGTCAATGACCCAAAAATCGGGAATATCGGGACCTGTTTGA